TCCCAAGCTTGGATCATAGCTCTCAAGCTTGGATCATAGCTCTCAAGCTTGGATCATAGCTCTCAAGCTTGGATCATAGCTCTCAAGCTTGGATCATAGCTCTCAAGCTTGGATCATAGCTCTCAAGCTTGGATCATAGCTCCCAAGCTTGGATCATAGCTCTCAAGCTTGGATCATAGCTCCCTGTCGAGTCACCGAAGATAAACGGATAAATTTAGTTGAACAGTTAAAAGTAATCCTGAGGTAAAGATAGAAAGAATGAAAATAGCAATCTGTCTGTCTTGTTAAACACTAAAGCCACCGACTCTTGACTGTAAAAGTGGCTTGTTATCACTGCGATTCAGAGAGCGGATGGTCTTCAGCAGGATATCATCTTCAGGCTTAGGGATGGCTTGGGATAGGGGACACACTGCAACAGTTGGTTATCCCGGGATGGAATAGGCACCTAGTTAGCAGGTCGAATTCATCGTCCGCATTAGTATTGTCAGGCCTTTCTTCCATTTTCTTCGGGTAAGTGATTTTATTTCAAATGATGTTCGGGGAGGCTTTTACGTTTGGGGAGGGGGGGTGAGGCCGAGGTTACATCCTTTGTTCTATAATATAAAATTAAGTCAATTAGAAGGAAGGAGGAGAGATAGCTATAGGCTCAGTGGTAGTATTACTCAACCAGTATGTGCCTATATCATGTAATTAATATACAATGTTTTAATTATATCTTAAATCCTTGCTATGATGTACACCTGTAATGATGATCCAAGTATAAATTAAATACAAATTGCTATGAAAATTTCATATCATTGTAGCTAGTTTTCATTTGGTCTGTCCTACATTGCCTAGCTTTTTTCTGCTAGTCAGTGGTTATGGGATGTTTTACTGATCAATAAATAAAATTGCCCCAAAAAGCATTCAACATTATGCCAAATTTTTAATTTCTCATCTATTGCATATCTGTTAGAGGTGAAATATGTAAGTTTCCCCATGACGGGGCTCGATTTCTGTTCCCTTTCCTTGCATGAATTTAGATGGGTAGCTTTAGATGGGTTTCTTCTATCTAATATACTTCTTTAAGCATTTTATCTATATTTCTTATAATATGTTTCCGTGCCCCATAACCTCCTCCTTCTTCTGGGGCTAATAAGTCTCTGTCTTCATCCTTAATGATACAACTATATGACTCTTCAGTCTCACTCCAATTCTTTATAACTGTCTCCTGGGCGTGCATCTTCCAGTCATTATCTGTTTCTGAGGAGTCTTATCACCCCGTCCCGTCCAACAGTCTGGTTGACCAGTCCTCCAGCAACGAGGAGGCCTGGTCGACGACCGGGCCGCGGGGGTCGCTGAGCCCCGAAATCATCTCAAGGTAAATTTTTTTTTGGACATCTCATCCAAAATTTCATTCTTGACCAGAATTGATTAGGAAATCGGATGTGGAATGGCGTTGTCAATAATTACTAATATTTATTAAAACATGTAATTTAGGCCTACCGCAGCCTATCGCCAGTCGGGACCCCAAACCATTTCCTCCTGTGGATTTGTGTGAGGCTAGCCATTAGCGTCTGCCCTCCAGCTTTACACTGATAATCTATCTTAATTTATATTTGTTGTACGAACCCAGTTCCTCGCTGAATATACACTGAAAGGGAAGGGAACTATGAAGAGAAAGCACTAAGCCGTTACGACTATGTAGCCCTTGGAAGGGGGTCAGGATAAGGATCCTGACTCCTTCCAAGTTTGCTTCAATCCTGTAGTCTGTTCAGCACTGTAGGAAACTTTCTGGCTTGTCTGTTTGATTTTATGGTGGCTTGAATAACCATCAAGAGGTGGATATGCCTTGTCAAAACAAAAATCTAGGTTGATAGGCCTTAAGACCAACACAAAACCTAGGTACATAGGCCTTAAGGCCAACACAAAACCTAGGTTGATAGGCCTTAAGACCAACACAAAACCTAGGTACATAGGCCTTAAGGCCAACACAAAACCTAGGTTGATAGGCCTTAAGACCAACACAAAACCTAGGTTGATAGCTCTTAAGACCCCAGGGGGAGCAAATCCACACACACATAAAGCCAGAACAATTTCCAAACACCCCAAACACATACCAAGAATCTGCGGGAAATTAAGAGTGAGACACACTAGGCGTCCACCAGTTGTACCATTATCAGGGAAGATCACCCCACTAAGTTTCAGATGGCCGGGATTTCCGAGGCTTCGCTCTACCGTTTGTGTTTCTGATGTCCAGATATCCGGCTCATGTTATTAAAGTCTGTGTTGCGAAGAACTTGGTCGCTGAGCAAAACTTTCCCAAACTACAGGCTTTTAGGGAAGTGTTACTAGTTGTCTACTCCAGATCAATTCTTGCTTTATATATATATATTAATAAGAATAATGGTGAACGCGTTTCGGCTCACTTTGCTTTCGTTAGAGCAAGATAGAGAGTGGATTCGATCTGGCTTTATCTTGGTGCTCCCGTATGCACTAAATAACAGCTGGTACACATACA